GCCGATTGGATTAGCTGACTGTTTTCATTCAAGGAGCAAATGTTCAGAATTTCTTTGTGCTGTTTTCCATGAACCAAAAGCAAACCCGTTGCCGTAGAGTCGATTCTGACCATGGAGACCCATGTGTTACAGAGCAGAGCTGCTCCGTAGGGTTTTCTTGACTGTCATCTTTTCAGAAGCAGACCACCAGGCCTTTCTTCCATGGCACACTGGGTGGGTTCAAACTTCTAACCTTTGGGTTAATAGTTAAGCACCAACCGTTTGCGCCACCCAGGAGCCAGATAAATGTGTATCTCAGCTCCTCAGCAATCTTGAAAACCTTAACTTCTATTATTTTTTAACCAAAAACACCTTGATTTTAGTCTTCAAATAGCAAACTGTTTACTCTTTTTTTCTAAGATAATCCCGATTAACTTACAAAAATTGGCATTTACAATGCACCTTCAAAGCATTTCCCTTTAAGGAGAAAGTTAGCATTATAGAATCTCAAGATTAAAAATTTAAAAAAAAACTATTTTGTTGCCTTTCTAAGACAAAATGGAAGCTAGCATAAATCAGGAAAATCCTCTCAGACTTCAGGTCCTTCTCCTCCAGCAAAAAGATTGTTATATAATGTCCATTTAGTAAAATCTGATCTAATTTAGTAATCCCTCTTGCTTCTGGTGTGATTTCAAAGTCAGTAACACAATATTGACAAAGTCGTCAAAAGCTAGAAGCCAGCAATTTCCTTACCACTCTTCATCACAGTGTGACTTCTTGGCTCTGGGCACTTGTCCACAAGCTCTAGCGGCCACAGCTATGACGGGTTGGTGGTAGGATTAGCCGCCAAGGCTACGCCGGAAGTCTCTATTAGTTTTTAAAAAGAAAAATTTAAAAATCTGCCTGGCTAACAGAGTTTGCCGTGTTCTCACCTACATTCTGTGGGACCCCCCCCCATCACTCTTTGCATATGGGCCTTTGCTTACGTTATTTTGTGAGCATCTGTATGAAACGGAAGAGAATGGAATAGGAAAAGGAAGTGCTATCCAGGTTGGTTGCATTCTCTATGCTTTTGCCCCCCGCACGGTTTCTTGTAGCCCCTGGGCCCCCGTGCGCAGCAAACACTTCCCTAAGCATTGGAGCAGGAGCGTCTGAGGGTGCAAATCCAGAGAGGCAGAGCCCTGTCTCCTAGGCCATCTCTGCCTGCTGTCAGGAACTATGTTAGATTCAGAGCTTTTCTAGCGCTGGCGCTCTGCGCATTGTTGATGATGATTGTGTCACCATAGGCAGCTGAGTGTCCCGTCCTCATCCTTCAGCTGCATCCTGGGCGGGAATGGTGAGTAACCCCTGACCCTCGCAGCTTCCACCTGTACCGAGCTGTTTCCACAGGAACGAACCGCCTCCCCAGTCACGTGGCGGTGGCGGGTGGAGAGGAAGCGGCAGTGTTCTGAAGATAAGATGGTTGTATCCCACTGGGAGATAAGTGCGTTCTGGTGTTAAGATGTAGGAGTGAGCACGTTTATGCCTTAAGTGGCTTAGACGAGGCAATTGATCCTGGGCCCCACAATTCTGTGCCCTTTTCCAGTTCAGTTTGAAACATGCAGACAATGGGCGTGGGAGAAAGAGCTGATGCAGGAGAGGTTCTCGGGGGCCTTCCACTTGAGAGGTAGCCTCCATTTAATTTCTCTGTAGTTTCTGGTCTTCGCATTTGTGGAGTGGATCAGATTGTTTACTTGGAAAGGCTCCCAGCACGTTGGATGCTGCATCTCAGCAGGCTATTTGCTTGCTAAATAATTTAGGTAAAATGCATTTAGATTCCTTCAGACTGGAGTTGTTCCTGCCTCCCAGGTGAGATTCAGGTTAACCACCCCAAGCGCTTTACAGGGATTTCCAGCAATTGGATTGAATTCCGACTCTGCTGGCTGGACGCTTAGCATCTCACTGCTGTGGAAGAAAAGGCAAAGCGGTGTTTCGTTGACAAAGCATGGGATTGCACCGCGGTTTGTGGAGTGAGCTCCTGTTAGGTGCTGTCCCTGACCTGGGATTAGGGCAAAGGTCGGCATTTCTTTCCCTAAAATTGTTGTAGACCCTGTGCCTCATGGAAGCAGTTGATGGAAGTGCATGTCAGCAGATTTGTGAAGACCTTTGCGTTCCCCACCCATGGTTGTGCACCTGTCAGTAATCACCAGGGAGCTTGTTGAAATACTGCTTCCTGAGCCCCAAGCCCTAGAAAGTCTTAATGAGTAGGTCTGAGGTGGGGCCCAAGGGACTGTGTTTTAAATAAGTACCTCATGGGATGCTAATGCACGTTGGCCTGGGATCACATTCCGGCACAAACATCAACTTTACATTTGTTTCCAAGACACAATCATTTTTTTATGGGTCTGTGTGTCTGGTATGCATTCAGGTCAGCGGCCCTTAAATTGATTTCAGGAAATATTGAAATCAAAGTTAAAGGATATAGTGGTATTTTACTGAGGTTCTTTAGCATTTTTAGATTTGGGTAATAAAGTTAAGTAGAAGGCAAAAAGCACATTTATAAACAGTGGTTTTCCTAACGTAGAGTTGTTCTTGTTAGGTGCTGTCGAGTTGATTTCAGCTCATAGTGACTCTATGTGACAGAACAGAACTGCCCTATAGGGTTTTCTAGGCTGTACTCTTTATGGGAACAGATCGCCAGGTCTTTCTCCCATGGAGCCACTGGTTGGGATCGAACCACCAACTTTTTGGTTAGCAGCCAAGCACTTAACCGTTGTGCCACCAGGCCCCTTAATATAAAGTTAGAGCCATAGAATTTTTGAGACAGAAAGAGAGAAAAGGGGGAAAGTATATGTATGGGTAGGCATGCACTCACACATTACCCAGACCCACATCCACCAAAGTAGTCTCATATCCTTAATGGGTCTTTGGAGAAATCCATCTTGCCCATGCTGAAGTGAAACTAAAGGGGAGTTAGAACTTGATTATATCTGCCAGCGCTCCGAGGAAGCAGTAACTGCACCAAGAGAATGGATTTCGTTTGTGTGAGTTGAGGGGCTCAGAGGACCCTCAGTGTGAAGACCAACTTGTTGGAAAGTAAAGGAAAACTGCCCAGCTCCTCTTCTTCTCCAGATCATGGGGAAAACCTGACTCCACTTGGCCTGTTGGAGGTTGGTGTTCAGGCTCCCTTGCTGGAGACCCACGGAGAACGCGTGTTTACACAAATGACAGTTAGAGCTAGGACTCAATCTCTTTGACCTGAGCTTCCTTATCTATAAACCAGAAATAGAAACAGCTATCCCCACGTGGTTGTTGTGAGGATTAAATAAGATAGCTTGTGTCAGGATGTTTTGGAAGCTGAAGAGAATTATATACCGCATTTTATGCAAATAACATGCATCTCCTGTGTTTGCCAACTGCGCCCCCCCCTGCAAAGTATTTTCATAAGCATGCTATGCCCATTGCAGCAATATGTAAAAAAAGAAAAAGAAAATTGGCATGGTGGTGCTTACGAAAATACCTCCCAGGGGGAGGGCGTGATTGGCAAACAAACGTGGAAAGCCTGTGTTATTTGCTATTTGTTATTTTGTTGAGGTTCTTCAGCATTTTTACATTCGGGTAATAAAGTTAAGTAGAAGGCAAAAACATCTTTAAAAACAGTTGTTTTCCTAGCATAAAGCTGTTAGGTGCTGTCGAGTCAATTCCAGCTCCTAGTGACTCCATGTGACAGAGTTGAACTGCCGTAGAGACAGTTTCAGTGTTGAAATCAGCGTCTTCGAAGCAATCTCATATATAGCAGTTGGGCTCTTTTGTTTACATTGGCTGCTCTAAAAATTGGAGCTGAAGTTAAAATAGATGCTGCAGTTAACTCTGAAATGTTATTTATTTTTATACCCAGAAATTCTAACTTTATGCTTTTTGATCTTTCTAACACGCTTGAGAATTCCGGATATGTTCTCTGCCAGTCTGCTCACTGCCTTTGCCTCAAAGCACCGTGATTCTGACCTTTCTGTTTGTTAGGGGACCCTCCGATTTCCTGAAGTAGCCTCTGAAGAAAGACTGTTCATGGTTCGTGTGTGAACTTGTTGGCTTAGCAATTCTGCTCTCTCACCCAAAAATTACATATCCAATTATGGCAAAGACTCTTCGTTTTATTAGACAAAGTTCATAATCAGTTGGGAGAGAGACCTTTCACACTCTGAATTCTTAAAATGGTGCCTTCTTAAGTTAAATGGCATGTTGGGAGTATTTCGAATATAAAATGGGAAACTTCCAGATGCCAGAAGGCGTTGCTTATCTTTGTGAATACACATGTTCCAATTAAAATAGGTACTGAAATATTTCGGTGGCACTTCAGAACTCCCAATTTAGATTTAATTTAGATTAAACCATTTTCTCTTTTTAATAAAGTTGTAAAATTGATGATTAAAATTGCCTAGAAGATTAAAAGCAGTGGAACGTTTATTTTCCTTACAAAACAATTTAGTCTTCAATAAGTATGATTGTATAATCAATTACGCTATTAAAATACAGCTGCCATATTAAATCTGACTCATTTGTCATGACAGTTTCTATAATTATAGAAATTATACCTAGCTGCTTATATAGCTGTAATCCTGCAATAAATATAAATAATCGTCTCTATTAATTCAGTCTGCAGTTACTGTCTATTAAATCCCACTTAAATGGCAATTTGAGGACTTTCATTTAAAATCCTGCTAAATCTTTGTTGTTCCATCTGACTGCCAAAGCCCCACAAATGCACCTCCTGCTGTTGATTCTAGAAACCAGTTTATGAATAACATAGTTTTTTGTTTTTAATACAAACATTTAAAGTCCTTTAGGTTTGAGGCTATCAGGAAAAAAAGAAAAAGAAGGTGTACATGTTGGGTAGGGGGCACTGACAAAAGAAAGACCAAATCTCAGTATCTTAGTATTTCAGTTTGGAAAACAGTATAGAATTTCAGCTTGAAAAATTCTACTTCAAGCCAAATTACTATAGCAAGTGGTTGAGTAACTGTTCACGAATTGTATTTCCGTAGGTGTGGATGAGGTCACCATCGTCAACATTTTGACCAACCGCAGCAATGCACAGAGACAGGACATCGCCTTCGCCTACCAGAGGAGGACTAAAAAGGTACAGCAGTTATAGGGATGAAGGACAATCCTCGTCACGTTTAATTTCCTTAGCCATTGCCTTTTCTTTTCATCAGTTCTGGCTCGTATTGAAAAGATGGCCTGTCACCAGCAAGAGCCTTCTGGGACACTCGGGTACCTGAGGTTTTCCGCTTGCCTCTTGGCAAGGGTTACTTCTCACACACACCCGGCCCCTGGAGTGGTTGGGTGCTCACACATAAAGACAGCACCCTCCTCCAACCCGGAAGGCCTGGAGGGAGGAGTTCTGGGAGTAGAAGTTAGAAAGGAATAGAGACAACAATAACAATAGGTTCCTAGGGCTGCTGTGACAAATGACTGCAAACTGGGTGGGTTACAATAACGGAAAAGTACTCTGTCAGTTCTGGAGGCCAGAAGTCTGAAATCACCGTATTGGTAGAGCTGCACTCCTGAAGGAATCTAGAGGGAGAATCCTTCCTTGCCTCGTCCAGCTCCTGGGGGCTCCCAGAGTTCCTTCCTTGGCTTGTGGCCGCCTAACTTCAGCCTCTACCTCCATCTTCACGTGGTCTTGTCATTGTCTGTCTCTTATAAAGACACTTGACCCTGGAGTTCGGACCTGCTTGGATAATCCAAGACGATCGCTTCTCGAGAGCCTTGACTTAATTACATCTGCAAGGACCCTTTTTCCAAATAAGGTCACTTTCACAGATCCCGGGCTTAGAACAGGGGTGGATCTTTTTGGGGCCATCGTTAATGCACTACAGGTAGCATTTATAGAGTGCTTACTTTGTACCAGATACCGTGTCAAGCTCTCTGCATGGAGCGACTCATTTTATCTTCCTGATTTCTGCTGACTCTTGATGTCTATAGTTTCATCTTAGGACACTTAGCCCCCACTGAGTATTGATCCGGACACACTCCTCTTATTCTTAAAAAATACACTTGAATACTTCAGAGCACAGTAACAGATGGCCTTACCTGGTAGTTCATTTGCTCTACCAGGTGATCTTCAACGTGCCGTGTTCCCACTCTTTAAAGAGACTTTGTGTGTTTTTTCCCTTGCTTGTCCACCAGTGGTTGAGGAACATCCCAGGAGTTGTTCATCCTGAGTTTGTTGCAGTGTTAGTAAATTTTATTTTTAGGGACTTGCTGCTTTATTTTTAACTTCTTGCTATTTAAAACTTTTGATTTATTCTTGGGCGGCGCCCTAAGTGTGGTTTCCTGCAGCTCCCGTCTGAGTTAGGGTTTTCACTCGTAGCCACGGTGGAGATGAGGTGGAAGGATTCTGGTCCTACCTTTGAGATTTCTGCCCTTGGGGCTGACGTGCCCACCGGGATCCTAGTAGTTGTAGGTCAAGCCCTGATACAGCTCCCCCTTCCAAACAGTGGGGAAGGACATAAATAGGAAAGTGTCTGGCTTCTGTCATCCCATGTGCATTAACATTCCTCTTCAGCCAGACTCGTATTAATCTCCTGTAGAGAGGCGTAGAGGGTGTGCTTTATTTCTCCTGCTTCCCAGAAGGATCTGAGAGCTGGCAGAGCCGAGTTCCAGGTGGAGCAGAAGGCCCACCTCTTTGACAAAATATCTGGAATTGCTCCTTCAGTTGTCACTTATGGAGTGTGGTCTTGAACACACTTGAGCTTATGGATGTATGCACAAATGTAGAAGTCTGGATCTTGATTTCAAATTAGGTAGAGAACAAAACTCTCATGTAGCCCCTTAGAAGGAAGATTCAAGCGGGGTTCAGTGACCTCACCAGCTAGGGACAGGGATAGCTCACTGTCCTACTGATCCTTGATGTCCCTCAGCCTTGGGTCAAGGAACATTGTCATCTTTTACAGGGAGATACTTACACTACCTGAGATACTCTCTGAAGGCAATGTCGGGAGCAGAACCTTGTTGTTTCCAATGAGCTGTTTGCAGGATAAAGGAGAAAATCTTGTATTATAGAGCAGCTTTAGGGAAATGGAACACGGCTGTCTGGATTTCAAGGTGATAAGCTTGGAGAGGGGGCCCTGGTGGTGCAGTGGTTAACCAACAGGTCAGCAGTTCGAATCCACCAGCCCCTCCTTGGAAACCCTATGGGGCAGTTCTTCTCTGTCCTATAAGGTCGCTATGAGTCGGAACCGACTCGACAGCACGTAAAACAAACAAGAAGAGGCTTGGAGAGAGGGGCTGGAGAGAGGACTGGTTTTATGTTTCTTTCACGTTTAAGCAGATGCCAGATGCCAGGTCCCTCCACACCAGTTATGTTTATTTATCAGATGTTTCTGGAGCTTCTGTTGAGTGCAGAGCCCTGTGCTAGAAGCTATGAGAACCAGGAATTTGAATGCCTCTGAGGAGTTTATAACTTCCACTTACTTCCCTAAGAACTGGAAGAAATCAGTAGGTGCCCAAATGCTGTTTGAGGTTTGAACAAAGTTTAGGGGGGTGAGAATGGTAGAGGGCAGTGTCAAATGTAGGCTAAGTTTGGAATTAGCTAACCTCAAACTTCCAAATTGGAAAATTGGTGGTATCACTGGGAAGTGTTGCTATTAAAGGCCCACTGTAAGTGCTATGTGTTACTGGGGCATCAGGAAGCTGGAGAAAATAGGTGGCTAAAGGGTTGGGCCAGATGATTTCTAAGATCCATTTCATTTCTAACACTCTTGACACCCAAGAATGATTCAAGAAGATTCTCTTTGAGGCAAGTTGCAAATCACCTCTTATAGCCTGCAAGTACCTCAAGGGGCTAAACATTGTAGATACCATGAGATGCTATTGGAAAGCAGGAGAGAAAAAGATAAGGGAGAGAAGAGGTGGGAAAAATTAAAAAGAAAGAAAATGATTCTAATGGGAGACTCCAGTCATCACCCCATGCTGTGGGTTGCCTGTGTCTTGTAGGAAGTTTAATCCCCAAGGAAGCCTCTTTAAAAGCCACATTGGATTGGGGTGTCTGTGTATAGACATGGGTGGCAACTCAGACCTCTGACTTAAACTCTTGTGTTGATGGTGACCGTGAGAAATAGTCTGCAGTGGGGAAGTCAAGGGCACGACTGGGGGCCTTTCGTCCTCCTTCATCTTCATCACCACTCCCCCCCCCCATTTGGTTAGGACAAATGATATTTTCTCGGTCTTACATGAAAGTGTTTTGCAAACACAACTTCGTGACCCCACTCCCAGCCAATGCTGGAGTCACCGGTTCCTTCGGGAGACGCTCAAGAGCCATTCCTGACACGGCTGCTCAAACATCGTTTGCAGGGTGACATCAGGTGGCCACGTGGGCTCTACTTCCTGGGAGGCTACCCATTCTAACCACCTTCTTAGCAGGGACCTTGGGCCCCAGGAAGTGCCCTGCCTTCCACGGGGTGTTCAGACTCCAGCGTGTTGTAAACAAGGCGCCCTCACTTGGCAAGGTTTTTGTTGCTGTTGGTTAGCTGCGTGTTCAGTATTTTTTTTTTTTTAATTTTTTTAAATTGTACTTTAGATGAAGGTTTACAGAACAAACAGTTTCTCTTTAAACAGTTAGTACACATATTGTTTTGTGACATTGGTTAACAACCCCACGACATGTCAACACTCTCCCTTCTCGACCCTGGGTTCCCTGTCACCAGCTTTCCTGTCCCCTCCTGCCTTCTAGTCCTTGTTCCTGGGCTGGTGTGCCCCATTAGTTTGTTTTTGTTTTATGGGGCTGTCTAATTGTTGGCTGAAGGGTGAACCTTGGGAGTGACTTCATCACTGAGCTAAAACGGTGTCCTGGAGCCATACTCTCGGGGTTTCTCCAGTCTCTGTCAGGCCAGGAAGTCTGGTCTTTTTTTTTTTTTTTTGTCACACGGCCAGCTTTTGAGGAGCTGCACACTACTCCAGTTTCCTTTTCCTGCCCGGGGGAAGGCAACATCAGCTTGGGTTTTAAGGGGTTTTGTTAAAGAAAGTCTCATCTTTAGGTCTGTGACGTCTGGATCTGTTGAAAAGAATACAGATGAGGGATAGTTTGACAAAGCATCACCGCCTGCTTTATAAACAGACTCTTCTTAACTTTCGTTTTATGCGCCAGCTTTACAGTGAGTATTGGTTACCGACCAAGTTTTCCACAAGTGTCTGTTTTTCTGCAGGAACTTGCATCAGCACTGAAGTCAGCCTTATCTGGCCACCTGGAGACGGTGATTTTGGGCCTATTGAAAACACCTGCTCAGTACGATGCTAGCGAGCTGAAAGCGTCCATGAAGGTAAACATGTGTGGATTTAATCTCTGTCAAATCTGCCATTAATATCTGTGAATTACAGCTTTTTGAGTGTAATTAGGTGATTTTCAGTTTTGTTGAATTCTCATTTGGAACTTTTTTAAAAATGAACTGAAGCTATAAGTCTTGGGATTTGTACCAAAAATATTTCAATTGCTTTTTTAAAAAACTGGAGAAATTTCCTGATGCTGAGAAGTCAGTTACTAGCTGCTGCCGCTCGGCACCTGGGCAATTGGAATAGCGTTTGGAAAACTACTGCCTTGATTGCACTTCCTCTTTAAAGAGATACGTTGTGATGTTCAGGCAAAAGTAAAACTCATGGTTTTTGTTAAAGGAAGCTTGCAGACCCTGCTGTTGTGGACATGTCTTCTCTGGACCCTTTCCCTGTCATTGTTAGGTTCAAATTGGGGCAAAATCCGAACACCCAAGTGCAGAACCCCGAAGGGGTGGTTTCAGATCATGAAAGGTACCTGTATTTCATTCAAAGGATTGTAACACATACTATCTTTTATGGTTTTCTTTTGCAAAATTATTAATGAACACGGAATCCTAGGTTAAATTAGATAGTAAAAACTCCAGATGGGAACTTCCTTGAATTTTGTGCATATCTACAACATCAACTATTATATACGTGCAATAGGATGCAGAAACAGAAAGGCATGTTACAGCAAAGCATATGCAACCTTTCCAGAGCGCCTGGAACGTTTTCCGTTATCTGTTACTGCCCTCTGCTGACCTGACTGGGTAAAGCGTTTCCAGCGGGGGGGCGGCGGGAGGCCGTATTTCTGATTTTACTTATTTAAGTCCGAGTACATTTTCTGTGATGCCACAGTTCCTGAATTATGAAGAGACCAAGCTGTAAGCCTGTCACCAGAGCCCATGTCACAGTTCAGTGGTCACCCCTTTCCCCGGAGGGCGACTTGAGAGTGAGGCAGCTTCACATGCTGGGCATTTCCAGGGCCCTGAATTTGATAGCTCAGGGCTGCGGAGAAGTTCGGTGTGAAAGCGCTTTCCTCCTTCAGCTTAGCCCGTGCTTTGCTCAGTTTACCTGAGTGATCTGCTCCGAGTTTCTAGGAGGGCACTAAGGCAGCCCCTGGGTTATGAGCGAGCTCTGTTCCTCTCTCTGTCTTTAAGTCGAACTTGTAGGTGAGCTGGGACAGGTGCACGTGGTTCTTATTTAGCCTGACATGCGCTTTAGTGCAAGAAAAGGCTCGAAGCCTTTTCGGTGATTTGAAAGCTGCACATCCAGCAAGTGAAGGTGATTGTGATGAAGAATTTCTTGAGGGGAGGGGTTGGTTGAATCGTTTCCAAGTGAGGGCAAATTTACATAGCGTTAAAGGTATGTATGAGTTGTCTGTAAGTTGGATGTTCGTAACCCGGACATTCGTAACCCGGGGAATGCCAGCACTACAGGGAAGGTACAATTAAGGATGAGAAACTGTCAACAACACTTAATGATTCCGCTTGATGAAGATAACGCTCCTGAAAACTGAGTCTGGGAACTTTGGGCCGTAGATGAGCCGCCCTCACTGAGGTTTCTCCTGACCATCAACACTTCAGATCAGTTGATCTTATTTTCGTCGACAATCCATTTAGTTGCGATTCATGTGATTTTATGAGTATCTATTACTAGGTATTAGTGACTTGAAATGGATTTGCTTGAGCTGTCAGTCACTGCTGTAACCTGTGTAACTGGGCCCGATGAAAGGCGCTTTAACTGCGGAATCTTGGAGCTTGTGCCAGCTCTTCCATTAGCCATCACAGTTGAGTACCCTTCTGAAATCCTGAAAGCTCGAAGAGACATTAACTGAACTATGCTTAAAAAGAATCTGTTTTGACTTCTGGCAAAACCAGTGGCCGTATCTACGTTAGGTTTCAGTAGAATTGCCCTTGTGATAGGGACTGTGGACAGAGTGTGGAAAGCTTGGGCCAAGTTGTGGAAATTGCCAAGGTCCCCTTTGAGTGCAGAAACAAGACGACTTAGAATTCTCAGATATGTTGGTGGTGGAAGGCAGCGAATCTTACATTGCTATACCTTGACGTACATTGCTACAATGTGAGGATACAGGATTTCTTTCAATGCTTGAGTTATTTTTAGACTATATTTCCATCAACCTTGAGATTGAAGAACTGCCCCCTGAAAATATTTGAAGACATTTGGTAGTTGTTCTGTAACATTTGGATAGAATGTTGTGTAGACCTTTTGCGAACGAAGAGAGAAAGTTTGGCTTTGTCAGAACCTCAACAAATCATGATTTAAAACTCTGGAAGAAGAGGCATTGGCTCAGAGATTAGATTAGGAATAAAATTCAGAATTAACCATTGACCTGAGGCTTAGCTTATATTACACAAACCACTCTTTCGGGGGCATAGAAACTCTTATTAAGTTTAATTAATAGCTGACACACTTTTCATGTGGATAAGTCAGTTTCTTATTGTATTAACACCTTATAATTGATTTACATTTTAAACAGTTGTAATTCTACTTAGTTCAAAGTGATATTCCATATTCAGAAAGACAAGTATTAGAGAATCCTGATTATTAAATCTTGACTTTGATCATGAAGCCAGCTTTGAAATACATGTTTCACTGAGTCCTTTCATGCTATCTGGTACGCTCAAAAGTGTATATATTAAATTTGAATACATCACTCATCAAATTCTTATTCCTTAATAAAGCATTGGTGTCTAGCTTTATTTGGCACTTCATTATTTCCTTTTGCTTCCCTAAAATGCCCGAAGAGTGCATAATAATCAAGCAAAAGTGTAAGTGCAAGAATAAAATTTTTAACATTAACCCAATTTTACATTTCAAAGGAGTTGAAGCTAAAATTTTTATTTTATCTATACCTTTCCCCGGTAAAAAGGCTTATTCTAATCTAATGTTGCTGGCTGCAAATGATAACGTAAAATTTTTATATTCCTTTGTTTTAAATGAGAAGAATTGTTTAATCAAGAAAATCATTTCCCGTCTTTTTAAAATAAAGATAAAATAAATGAGTGAACATTATAAAGATTGAAAAATATAGAAAATCGGGAAGAAGAAAAATCTCCACCTTATAAACCCATCAGCGAAAGGCACCGACTTTTAACATTTTTGTGTATTTCATTTCTGACTCTTCCCACTCCCCCTTTTTTTTTTTTTTTTTTTTGGTGAAAATATACATAGCCAAAAATACACCACCTGAAAAATTTCTACATGCTCAGTTCAGTGACATCGACCACGCTCCTCCAACTGTGCTGTATTCTCAATTTAGATGAAGGTTTACAGAACAAAATAGTTTCTCATTAAACAGTACACATGATGCCCTATGACAAAGGCCAAAAACCTCACAACACATCAACACCGTCCCTACTCAACCCTGGGTTCCCTATCACTAGCTTTCCTGTCCCCTTCTGCCTTTCAGCATTTGTCCCTGGACTGCTGTGCCTCACCAGTCCTGCTTGGTTTTATGGGGCTGTCCAATCCCCAGCTGAACAGCAAACCTCGGAAATGACCCCACCACCGAGCCAAAAGGGTGTCTGGGGGCCGTACTCTCGGGGCCTCTCCAATCTCCTCTAGGCCAGCAAATCTGGTACATTTATGTGTGTTAGAATTTTGTTCTACATCCTTCTCCAGCTCTGTCCAGAACCTTCCACTGCAATCCCGGTCAGAGCAGTCAGTGGTGGTAGCCGGGCACCATCTAGCTGTACTGGACTCAGTCTGGTGGAGGCCTTGTTAGCTGTGGACAATTAGTCCTTTGGACTAATCTTTTCCTTGTATCCTGTTCTCTTCATTCTCCCTTGCTCCCGAAGGGCTGAGATCAGTGGAGTATCT